CATCATCTACAGAGAGCAGCCAGCAGGCGTTAAAAGTCTCTGCCCCAGGGTTGGTGGCCATGGAAGATTTCACATTCTGCTTAAGCAAATGCTCTGATATTTTCCAAAAGATTTCAGTTCCACTGTGAAATGATTAGCTGGAATGAGAACAGCAAAACAAGGACAATGGACTTCAGAAAGACAGGTTTCAGCTGGTTCAGAGAAATAGTAGGCAAGGTCCTATAGAAAGACCAATTAGGAAGAAAAGGAATTGAAGGGGTCTGGCAGTTCTTAAAAGATGTAACACTAGAGGTTCAACATCAAGCTATTCCAACATAGAGAAAGATAAGAAGAGTCACGAGGCCAATGTGGCTCCACAAAAAGCTTTTTAGCTATCTAAAAAACAAAAGGAATACATACAGGAAATAGAAAAGGAGTACTTGTGGCACCTTAGAGACGAACCAATTTATTTGAGCATAAGCTTTCGTGAGCTACAGCTCACTTCATCGGATGAATAAATGCTCAAATAAATTGGTTCGTCTCTAAGGTGCCACAAGTACTCCTTTTCTTTTTGCGAATACAGACTAACACGGCTGCTACTCTGATACAGGAAATAGAAGGAGGGGCATGTCACCAAGGAAGTATACATGGGAATAGCGTGAGCATGTAGGGGCAAAATCAGAAAAGCCAGGGCAAAGAATGAGTTACACCTAGCAAGAAATGCATGAGATGATGGGAAGGGGTTTTTCAAATACGTCAGACAAAAAAAAAAGATCAAGGATAGTGTGGGTCTGCAGCTCAATGGAGAAGGTGAGCTGGTAATGAAAGATGACAGGAAGGCTCAATGCCTGCTTTGCTTCAGTCGTCTCTAAAAAAAAAAAATAATATGACGGGAGGACTAGCAAAGTTACCATAAACAATAGGGGAGGGGATGCAGATTGGGATAAGTAAAGAAGACATCAGAGATCTTCTGAACAATTGGAATGAATTCAAATCAGCGGGGCTGGATACTGTTCACCCCAGGGTACTGACTCAACTAGCTGAAGAAATCTCAGAGCCAGTGGCAATAATCATTACAAACTCATGGATGATACGAGGGGTCCTGGAAGACTGGAGAAGGGTTAATATAGTTCCTAACTTAAAAAGGAGGAGCAGGGAAACTATCGACCAGCCAGCTTGACTTCTATACCTGAGAAGCTACTAGAGCAATGTAAAAAACATTCAGTTCGCTAATACCTGGAAGATGATGATGTCAGGTTGGGGGAGGCCTCAAGTGGGTTCCACAAGGATCTGTTCTGCCTCCAGTGTTGTTTATATCTTTATTAATGACCGGGATGTCAGTACAGAGAGCACACTGGTCAAGTTTGCAGATGACACAAAGCTGGGGTGTTGCCAATACTTTGGAGGATAGAGCTAAAATTCAGAAGGTTCTTGATAAATTGGAGAACTGGGCTATAGACAACAAAATGAAACTCAACAAAGACCAATGTCAGGTGCTACACTTAGGGAAGGAAAACCATATGCACAAATATAGAATGGGGGGGAAACTGGCTTGGCAGCAGCACTGCTAGAAGTATCTGGGAGTTGTGGTGGATCACAACCTCAACAGGAGTCAGCAATATGATGCTGTTGCAAAAACAAATGCAATTTTAAGTTGCATTAACAGAGGCATAGTATGCGAGTCATCGGAGATGATAGTACCGCTTTACTTGGCACTGGTTAGGCCTCAGCTGGAGTACTGTGTCCAATTTTGGTCACCATTGTATAGGAAGTATGTAGAGAAACTGGAAAGGATCCAGAGGCAAGCGACAAAGATGATCAAAGGGATAGAACGCAAGCCATACATGCAAAAGCTGAAGGAATGGGGTATGGTTAGTTTGGAAAAGAGGAGATTAAGGGGGAACATGATAGCAGTCTTCAGATACTGAAAGACTGACATAAAAAAAAGATGGAGAAAAGTTGTTCTCTTTTGCCACGGAGAGCAGGACAAGAGGCATTGGGTTCAAGATACAACATCGGAGATTTAGATTAAATCTCAGGAAAAACTTCCTAACTGTAAGAACAGTAGGACATGGAACAGATGCTTCGGGAGGTTGTGGAAGCTTCTTCACTGGAGGTTTTCAAAAGGAGGCTGTCTTGGATGGTTTAGACCCAACAAATTCTGCATCTTGCTAGGGGTTAGACTAGAATACCCTTGCTGTCCCTTCTAACTCTATAATTCTATGAATAAAATGGAATCACAAAGGGGAAATGGTAAAATCCTGGTAAGGATCAGACTATACAAAAGCAACAACCTGCTGGCATGATAATCTGAACTCACTGAGTGTGTTTCAGGATAGTCTCTACTTCCAATTCAGGCTTTCCCTAGCCCCACAGAGCTGCTGTGGCTGGTTTACCTCCTTCCCACTTACCCTCATAGGGGATCCCTTTCTGAATGATTAGTCTATGTTCACAACCTATATTAGGGTCAAAGTGATAGGGTTTTGAGACTTGAACCTACAGATCCAGTGACATGCTGTGTATTTTCTCTTTGGTCTTGTGCTGTTATTTATCATCTCTTATTTTCCTACAGTGGTTAGCACCATGGTATTTCTAGGGACTGAAATTGCCACCTTGAGAATTGGTCTTATCTGATTGATCTCTTAATACTGCTTTTTCAAAATGACAGTTCATAACGTCTTCCCACTGAAAGGTTACTTCCCCAGAATTGTGAGCATCGCTTATCTCTAACGCTTTCAATTCTGGCCAGTCCATGGAGCCAAGTGGAGACATCAAGACTCAAATTCAGCTCTACTGCTTAGGAAGGTGGGGCAGGGGATAGCAGTTTTTTAAAGCTCTAGAATTGTAAAACGTTTAACAGATACAATTACTTTTTACTTTGAAACTTGACTGTTTCCTTTCTGTCTGCAGTGGTTTGCAATGGCTGGGATACTGAACTTTGAAAATCTTTAGAATGACAAACTATAGCTAATGATGCAAGCCATACAATGTCAGTAAAACTGTCTTCACATCATGCTTGTTGGGTTTGGCTATATTTTCACTGTTTTTTTTCCCATTGAATGTATAGTTCTGTTATGTCAAACCAATAGTAGGTGTGAAATGGCAAAACACAGTTGCAAGGAGAAAATAAGCTTCTCAGAATCTTAATAGAATTAGAAATGAAATAGAAACTCCACACCTGGCAAATCAGTGCAGTGGATTGATGGACGTACTAGTCTAGGGTTAGGGAAGGTGCGGGTCTTGTCAATTGTAGTATTTATGAGTAGGAAGGAAACCATTTGACCTCTGGGCTATCAACTGCCCTGTGGGTGCCTACCTAATTAGGTCCCATTTTTAATCATACTAGTAATGAGAAACCTAATACGTTTGTTTTAATAGAAATTTTGCCACTCCCACTGTCATTTTAATGGTCTTTCTTTGCTTGTCGTTATCACCCAGAAAAATGCTTTCAAATGAGATGTACAGCAGGTAGGCACTATAGTGAGGGACACAGGAGACTGGAGAGCGACAGATTAAAGGGATATGTTAAGAAATTGGGTGGGTGGTGTGCTGTGATTCTGCTGTGATTGAAGAAGTATGTCATGAGATATGATGACAAAGCTGGAAATCCCCTGCACATGAAACAAATGTCTGTGTAATGTGTGTGCTGCCATGAGTAGATAGATCCCTGACAGACAGCAGCTCTGCAAGGGGCTATATTCTGTGCTGCACTTCTGATGAGCACAGGGGAATGGATTGCAAAGGTGGCTTTAGGGGCCCAAAGGCTGCTGCTCTGTATTTCAGGATCACTGGAGCACAGACTGTTCCAGTCATTAGCATGTCCCCTTCTGGCCTGCAGCATGCTCCTACACCAGGGGCTGTGTGCGGGGAGGTGGGGAGTGTCATCTTAGTACCACATACCCTTTAACAGCAGGGGATTTCTGCATGGGCCATCACTGCTCCTTTTCACTGCTCAGGCATAGTGGGAGCTGTTGTCTCTTGCAGAAGGCTAGGCTATAGGGTGTAGTCATGTGCAAGGTAAGAGGAGTTATTCTCCAAAGACTTCCATTAATTTCCACCGAGACAAGATGCAACACTAACATTAATTTCCACAGTTTGTCAGAGTTCTCCTATGATGAAATAAATTCTCAAGTTAGAACTGTTGGTGACTAGCTATGCTAGTGATGTGATGCACTAGGGATAGATGAGATTAAAATAAACACACACGCAAACCCTATAGCCTCCATATATAGAGGAGCTCAAGGGATTTGTAGGTTGTTGCTGCAAAATCAGTACAGGGGACCATTAGTCAAGTAAGAAATCCTAGGCCAACCTCTGCTCTTTTCCACCACTGTGAATCCAGAGTAATGCAGGATTCTTGAAGTGGCTTCTCTGTCATTGTGGAGCCTCTGCCCATCTTTGAGCAGTGATGCTTCCTGCTTGTTGTGTCACACTCCAGGATACTCTGAGAGTTTTCAGAAGCTTTTTTGACCTTCATTTTTCCCTCAAAAAACCAAACAAACAAATAGTATCTCTTTAAAGCTAATGCAGCTACTTCATTTCTTTGTTGGGTGTTTCTTTGGTGTAAATTCAAGTATGATCAAATCTGAGGATGACACCAAAACTGTTATGGTAGGAAAGACACAGAATACAGAGGGAAAATACCTGTAAAATGACCTGGAGATTACAAGAAGAAGCTGCAACCAACAGAGGGATTTATAAATGTAAAGTCTGACATCTAGGGAGAAGAAACAAGCAGCCAGAATGAAAAATGTAGGGATGTATCCAAGCAGATATAGCTGTCACAGTAAGCCAAACTTACTGCCTCCTTAATACTATTCTAACATTACTTTTTTAATCATAATAAATATATTTTGATAGAGAAAATTGTATTGGGAGTAGGAGTCTGGAGGGATGGTATTCCACAGTCTGAAAAAGATTAAATGTGATGCATGTAATGTAATGTTCTAGCTAGACTAGTGATTCTTAGGCTGCCTAATGTACAGCGTATGAAGTGTATACTCTTTTATTTACATTTAAAGGTTCTTTTCATTGGAGACTCAACTAACAGAGGGATAATGTACTATCTGATTGAAAGAGTGAATGAAACCCTTCAGGAATGGCAAAAGGCACATGACATTAAAACTTATCATAACATAAATGATGGGAAAACATTTATTAGTTACTCCTACTACCCCCAGTTTTGGATTAATGTAAACCAGAGGCCAACATTTGAAAAAGCACTAGAACAGCTGTTGCAAAGGTACAGTACAATTTCTACTGCTGGGTTGTTTGTATTCTTCTTCCATTCACAAATGTATTTAACAGACCTGTACCATTAAAATCAGTAAAGAATTAAGCACAAGATTTACAGGCCATATTGTGCGGTTGAAAAATAGTCAAATGATGTCACGCATCTGATCAGGATGCCAAATACAGTTCATTGAAGTGTAATGTGATGCTGTTAAAATGCTTACCATCTGTTTTAAGGGTACATGTGGTGTGCTTTCTTTCTTGGTTTCAGATCACATCCTCTTGAGAACACAGACCAGACTGTATTAGTTGTGGGTGGTGTTCAGTGGCTTAATTCCAATCACCTGCAAATTATTCAAAAGGTGCTGAAGAGGTAAAATTTAGTTCTGTATGTTTCTATTATCCCATGTAAAACATTGATATAATAAATTACAGCCACCAAACTTAACCAATAGTTTCAGATACAAACATTTCATGGTTTTTTTCATCGTTGTGCATTTAAATGTGATGTTAAAAGACATAATTTTGTAATGTCTCTTCATAGATCTGCAGATAAAATGCATGTGCTTTATTTTACTTGTTAAACAGGGAAAATCTATCAAATATCCTGGTAGTTATCAAATCCATAGGAATGGGCTTTCATCTACCAGTGGATGGAATACATTCTTTATCGCAGGTGGGTCAGATTTTGACTGCATTCCCATGAAACGCTTACTGTCTCACTGATGATTTTGCTATCTCTTCAAAATACATTGCCACCTGTGCTGAACAAGCTTTAAATGGACCATTGAGAGAGAAACATTTTGTATTTGTAATATGGTTTGCTGATATGGACTTGCGCCAGTAACCCTTATTTCATGGATTCCACAACACTCAGAGCTCCGTTCCATGCTTCATACTAAACTGGTTGTTCCAAGAACTAGAAGCCCCTACATTATTATACATAATGCCAACTTGCAGAGCTGAGTGGGAGACAGATTGCTCCAGCCACATGGATAGTTGAACCTCCCCAGTCTCCCTTTCTACCGGTAGGTGGTACACCATTGGCTACTCTGCACTGCTCTCCATAAATCCAGCTTGACCAGTCAGTACAGTATAGGCTGCGTTGCATCACCAGAACATTGCAAGGCAGCTGGAATGTCCTAGTGAACCTGTCCCTTTAATTGTATGTTAATAGTGTCAGATAGTTATTCTAAATTAGATCAAAAGCACCCACAGTAGCAGAGAGACAAAATTTTTACTATGTTATTATAAACTGCCATAGATAAAAGAGTGTGGATGATAATTCTCATTGCTGTAAAAGACACAGGTAATGACAACCCCTCCCACAAGGATCTCACAGTCTAACAGAAACAGATAAGACAATAAGAGGTGGTAACTTTAAACCATTCTTTTGTCATAATCATGATTATCATGTCTTCCCAGTTCTGTAACATTTGAGGGGTGGGGGGAAGGGATGAGGGGGTCTGAAGGAGAGAACAAGATTTGGGTTGGGTCGATCACAAAAATTCATTTTTAGTGCAATTTTGAGGGATGGACCCTCTTCCCTAACCAGTGTAGTCCTGGGGGCAGGGCAGAGGAGTGGAAGCTGGAAGACCTGAGTGCTATTCCCAGTTCTGCCAATAGCTTGCTGCATGAGTGTAGGTCTCCCAGATAAAATCTCTCTCTCTCTCTCTTTCCCCATTTGTAAAGTAGGGATGTTATTATTCACCCTTCTTTGTAAAGTGCTTTGACAGCAACAGCTGAAAGCAATAGATTATCCCTAAATATGGCTGTTTATAGTCAGAACGCCTTGATTTTTTTTCCAGTTCTGCTACTGACTCAGTGTGACCTAGGCAAGTCATCTCTCTTTGCTCCAGTTTATTAATCTGTAAAATGAATGTAATTGTCATGACTTCCATTTGGACCCAAGAAGGGGGTTATTCCATTTTGGGGGGAAAATGAGTGGACACAGGAACAAGAGCAACAAAACTGTCCCAGTCTACCTTTATTTGGCTCCTCCCTTTATTTACCTCCTGTCATGGCTTTGAATAGAAGTGAGGACTGGATGGGAAAACCAACATAATTTAGTCCTAAAATGGGCAAGGGGAAGAAGGATGGTCCAGTGGTTGGGACACTGGCCTGGGAATATGGGAGACCCAGTTTCAATTCCCTGCTCTGACACAGATTTCATGTGTGACCTTGGCAAGACACTTAGCCTCTCTGTGCCTCAGCTCCATATCTGTACAAGAAGGGTCCCAGAGGAGACAGGCACCACCAGGATAAAACCACCAATTGAAACATCATGAAAAATGATGCCCCTAATTCAGTCACAGTATATGTACAAGATAGGTAAGGTACAACCACAAAAAAAATCTTCTTAGGGACAACTTTGTGGTTTGGTTTTATTTTATTAGTCAGCAAATCCACAGAGTTCTGGAAAACAATCTGATTTAATTGCAGTCCATTGTTACTGCTTCTGTCCAAACATTCCTCTTATTTTCAATATCTGAGTCTCAAGCAAATTCACATTCAAAATGGTTTGGGTGTGTTGGACAAGAGGATTACCCTGCCTCGGCTCAAAAGCCTCTCTGTCTGATGTTGCTGTACAACATAAAATGCAATCACTTGATGACTTACAGCTAACATTTTCTATTCCTGGCCTCCCTGCCGTGTCTTGACAAATGCTAGGCTGCTCCTCAGTGTTGCTGGTTTGAGGGGACTCGTGGAACTGCAGAATGTGACAACTCCTGTCAAAGACAATGGACTCAAATATCTGTGATTTTTAAGCAAAACTTGTCTTTTACTGGACAATAACTACTTTATAATAGTACCTTTAATGATTTTCACTTTAGTGTTACAAGACTTAATTTCTTTTGTAGGAGGGCTTCCACGTATAATTATGCAAAAAGAAAAGGAGTACTTGTGGCACCTTAGAGACTAACCAATTTATTTGAGCATAAGCTTTCGTGAGCTACAGCTCACTTCATCGGATGCATAAAAGTGGAAAATGCAGTGAGGATGTTTTTATACACACAGACCATGAAAAAATGGGTGTTTATCACTTCAAAAGTTTTTCTCTCCCCCCACCCCACTCTCCTGCTGGTAATAGCTTATCTAAAGTGATCACTCTCCTTACAATGTGTATGATAATCAAGGTGGGCCATTTCCAGCACAAATCCAGGGTTTAACAAGAATGTCTGAGGAACGGAGAGGGAAGGGGAGGGGGGTAGGAATAAACAAGGGGAAACAGGTTACCTTGCATAATGACTTAGCCACTCCCAGTCTCTATTCAAGCCTAAGTTAATTGTATCCAATTTGCAAATGAATTCCAATTCAGCAGTCTCTCGCTGGAGTCTGGTTTTGAAGTTTTTCTGTTGTAATATCGCAACTTTCATGTCTGTAATCGCGTGACCAGAGAGATTGAAGTGTTCTCCGACTGGTTTATGAATGTTATAATTCTTGACATCTGATTTGTGTCCATTTATTCTTTTACGTAGAGACTGTTCAGTTTGACCAATGTACATGGCAGAGGGGCATTGCTGGTACATGATGGTATATATCACATTGGTAGATGTGCAGGTGAATGAGCCTCTGATAGTGTAGCTGATGTTATTAGGCCCTGTGATGGTGTCCCCTGAATAGATATGTGGGCACAGTTGGCAACGGGCTTTGTTGCAAGGATAGGTTCCTGGGTTAGTGGTTCTGTTGTGTGGTATGTAGTTGCTGGTGAGTATTTGCTTCAGGTTGGGGGGCTGTCTGCAGGCAAGGACTGGCCTGTCTCCCAAGATTTGTGAGAGTGATGGGTCGTCCTTCAGGATAGGTTGTAGATCCTTGATGATGTGTTGGAGAGGTTTTAGTTGGGGGCTGAAGGTGATGGCTAGTGGTGTTCTGTTACTTTCTTTGATGGGCATGTCCTGTACTGGGTACTCTTCTGGCTCTGTCAATCTGTTTCTTCACTTCCGCAGGTGGGTATTGTAGTTGTAAGAATGCTTGATAGAGATCTTGTAGGTGTTTGTCTCTGTCTGAGGGGTTGGAGCAAATGCGGTTGTATTGTAGAGCTTGGCTGTAGACAATGGATCGTGTGGTGTGGTCTGGGTGAAAGCTGGAGGCATGTAGGTAGTAATAGCAGTCAGTAGGTTTCCGGTATAGGGTGGTGTTTATGTGACCATCGCTTATTAGCACCGTAGTGTCCAGGAAGTGGATCTCTTGTGTGGACTGGTCCAGGCTGAGGTTGATGGTGAGATGGAAATTGTTGAAATCATGGTGGAATTCCTCAAGAGCTTCTTTTCCATGGGTCCAGATGATGAAGATGTCATCAATATAGCGCAAGTAGAGTAGGGGTATTGGGGGACGAGAGCTGTGGAAGCGTTGTTCTAAGTCAGCCATAAAAATGTTGGCATACTGTGGGGCCATGCGGGTACCCATAGCAGTGCCGCTGATTTGAAGGTATACATTGTCTCCAAATGTGAAATAGTTATGGGTGAGGACAAAGTCACAAAGTTCAGCCACCAGGTTTGCCGTGACATTATCGGGGATACTGTTCCTGATGGCCTGTAGTCCATCTTTGTGTGGAATGTTGGTGTAGGGGGCTTCTACATCCATAGTGGCCAGGATGGTATCTTCAGGAAGATCACCGATGGATTGTAGTTTTCTTAGGAAGTCAGTGGTGTCTCGAAGATAGCTGGGAGTGCTGGTAGCGTAGGGCCTGAGGAGGGAGTCTACATAGCCAGACAATCCTGCTGTCAGGGTGCCAATGCCTGAGATGATAGGGCGTCAAGGATTTCCAGGTTTATGGATCTTGGGTAGCAGATAGAATACCCCAGGTCGGGGTTCCAGGGGTGTGTCTGTGGAGATTTGTTCTTGTGCTTTTTCAGGGAGTTTCTTGAGCAAATGCTGTAGTTTCTTTTGGTAACCCTCAGTGGGATCAGAGGGTAATGGCCTGTAGAAAGTGGTGTTGGAGAGCTGCCTAGCAGCCTCTTGTTTATATTCCGACCTATTCATGATGACGACAGCACCTCCTTTGTCAGCCTTTTTGATTATGATGTCAGAGTTATTTCTGAAGCTGTGGATGGCATTGTGTTCTGCACGGCTGAGGTTGTGGGGCAAGTGATGCTGCTTTTCCACAATTTCAGCCCGTGCATATCGGCGGAAGCACTGTATGTAGAAGTCCAGTCTGCTGTCTCAGCCTTCAGGAGGAGTCCACCTAGAATCCTTCTTTTTGTAGTGTTGGTAGGGAGATCTCTGTGGATTAGTATGTTGTTCAGAGGAGTGTTGGAAATAATTCCTTGAGTCGGAGACGTCGAAAATAGGATTCTAGGTCACCACAGAACTGTATCATGTTCATGGGGGTGGAGGGGCAGAAGGAGAGGCCCCGAGATAGGACAGCTTCTTCTGCTGGGCTAAGAGTATAGTATAGTATAGTATAGTATAGTATATAGATAGATTAACAATATTGCTGGGTGGGTTGAGGGAACCATTGCTGTGGTCCCTTGTGGCATGTAGTAGTTTAGAAAGTTTAATGTCCTTTTTCTTTTGTAGAGAAGCAAAGTGTGTGTTGTAAATGGCTTATCTAGTTTTAGTAAAGTCCAGCCACGAGGAAGTTTGTTTTTTAATGAGAGTATCCAGTTTTGAGAGCTCATTCTTAATCTTTCCCTGTTTGCTGTAGAGGATATTGATCAGGTGGTTCCACAGTTTCTTTGAGAGCGTGGATTTGTGCTGGAAATGGCCCACCTTGATTATCATACACATTGTAAGGAGAGTGATCACTTTAGATAAGCTATTACCAGCAGGAGAGTGGGGTGGGGGGAGAGAAAATCTTTTGAAGTGATAAACACCCATTTTTTCATGGTCTGTGTGTATAAAAACATCCTCACTGCATTTTCCACTTTTATGCATCCAATGAAGTGAGCTGTAGCTCACGAAAGCTTATGCTCAAATAAATTGGTTAGTCTCTATGGTGCCACAAGTCCTCCTTTTCTTTTTGCGAATACAGACTAACACGGCTGCTACTCTGAAACCTGACATATAATTATGAAAGTGCCAATTACTATTGTATTAATTAATTAATTTTAAAGCTTAATTCTTTTTAAAATTAGGCTGACTTCTTCATTGTACATGGTATATTCTTTTGTATAAAGAAGAGCTAATTCAATAATTTTCTTTTCGTCTTTGTATGCATCAATACACGTGTTGAGAAATTGCTTCAAAAATCTAACAAAGCCTTGGAGGAAAAGCTGTTTTCACTAATGGAATTGCTATAATTCATGTGTAGAAAATAGTATAATTATTTCATTCAATATTGGCCCAGTTCTGCAGTTTTGCCATTACTTTAGGGTCAGATCCTGCTACCATTGAAATCAGTCAGTGTACTAGTGAATAACATTGATATTTTTTTGCTTTGGAATACAGACTGAAGTGCAAAATTTATGGAATGAAAATTTGGTTATTCTGGATACTGCAAAAAGATATGGCTATGAGGTGGTTGATACTTTCACCATCACAATGGGACGTTACAAAGAATTTCTGCAAGGGAAGTGTGGATGTCATTTCCATGAGGTAGTCATTTATTGTTTATACTGGTCTCATTTAAGTACTTAAAAGGGGTTTTAACTGTCAGATGCCACAGTGAAAATATGTACAGTATAGTGCATAGTAGTGGATCAAAGGTAGACCTAAATGAAGTTTGAAAAGGTTTCTAATGCATGTGAAGATATATGTAGCTCACCATGGAGGGGAACAGAAGCTGTGTAATGGCCAAGGTTCTGATCCTCCAAAGTATTTAGGTACTTTACTCCCAATGGGTTAGGTACCCATATACCTTTAAGAATCTAGGTCCAAATATGAAACAGAAATACCCTAAAAATGGAGTCCTATCCATGTAAACCCAGTGGAATCACAAAAGTGCTGTTCTGAAAATATACTTCTAACTAACGGAAAGAGGTTTCTCTGTGCAGGGCTTTGTTTCCAGGCTCTTAAGCTTCTCTACTCTGCACTGTATTATCTTGTTTCTTCTGGATCTGTTCAGTCTACCTATTTTGATATTGTCACCTGCCAGTTGTTTGTCTCAAGTCTTACTTAGCTGGTTTATTAACTTCACTCATCCTGAATCTGCCACTGCATGTTCTCATTTGAGGAAGTGGGAGTTACAAGTATGTTGTGTGATTAGAACTTTCCTGTAGCAGGGTGTGTACAGGGAGAGGGGTTGCACTGGCAGAAGGTTGTGAAGAGGTACCATAATTGTGCTCCTGTCTGTATATAGTCTTATTTTTGGCCCTAGTTTTCTCTTCTGGTTGTATACCTGAAGGAATTCTCTGTTCCATTTTACACTTACTGAGCTAAATTCAGCTTTATGTTGGCACAGGTACAAGGCCTTGGCAATGGAAAGCCCACCAGATGCGTTGCTGCAGTTGTGCAAAGGGTCTGTAGCCTCCCCTCCACCAGAGAACTCAAGTGCTTCCAGTCAGCCCCAAGAGTGAATGATGCAGGCTGGGGACGGGGGCATGGCCAGGGTAGCTCATGTTCTTAGCAGCTGCCCCTGGCTGAAAACTAAACTGGATCCCCTGGAAAACCCTTGGGAGGTCTATAGCATACCAGACCCTGCCCTGCTTAGTGAATCCCCCAGGCTGGCACAGAGAAGTGTAATTAACTCCAGACCTCCTGGTGTCACCTGTACTGAATCTGGATGCAAGTGAATTAGCATCATTTTAGGCTCTCATTTCAGCTAACAGTATGTCACCCCATTTGAACATTTTTGGTGTAGGGTTTGTGTTAGGACATGTTCAAAACGTGCTGCATTCCATTGCCCCAAGGGACTGTTAGAAGCTGGTGCAATGTGGAACAGCCAGAGGAGCTCCAACTTCCACCAAGGGTCAAACCCGCAAGCCCCACTATTGGGAGGGATGCAGGAGAATTGCTTAAAGCAACCTGAATTCTAATACATCTGAAGGCTTATTAGTTTCAGGATGCTATACTGATCCCTGTTGTTTGAATTAATGCACTAAGGCTCAACACAAGAAGGTGTGAGGATACTTAACATGGAGAAATAGACATATTGAATCTATTTCCCCGTGTTAAGTATCCTCACACCTTTTTGTCAACTGTCTAAATGGGCCATCTTGATTATCACTACAAAAGTTTTTTCTCCGGCTGATAATAGCTCATCTTAATTAATTAGCCTCTTAGTCCACCCTTTCATGTTCTCTGTATGTATGTATATATATATCTTCTTACTATATGTTCCATTCTGTGCATCCGATGAAGTGGGCTGTAGTCCACGGAAGCTTATGCTCAAATCAGTTTGTTAGTCTCTAAGGTGCCACAAGTACTCATGTTCTTTTTGAAGATATTTAAAGTTGTTCTGGTTTCCTTTCGGATATATTTTGAGTGTCTTCTGTGTCTTTTCACAGTTAGCCCTGTTAGACGAGGGATCAGTTTTGCATTTACATTTTTAGTGCCATAAATATATGAAACGGAGAAGTGCTCCCTTGATTTGAAGCATTGCTCTGTGTGAAACCGGAAGACGTTCTTCCCTGATGATCATATAAAGGTGCACCCTCTGCCTCACAATTGACTGTGATTATTCCGAATACGAGACTTGATTTAAGGACGTTCCCTGGTGTCATCAAGAGAAGTACCATAGAATTCCATCAAGGTCTCACCAAAGTTTCTGTGAAGCTAATTTGTTGGTATGAGAGGCCTGTGCCAGGATTCCAGAGTTGAATTATTAATCTGCCGGGAGTCTGAACATTCCATCCAGGCATTTAGTTCTAAAGGAGTTTCAGTGAATGTCTATGTGCTACTTCAAAGCATTTCACCATGCTACTCTTAGGAATTTAAGAAACACAATGAGCAGTAAAGGGAGCTTTGGGTCATCAACTCATTTCCCTTCAAGTGCTAGACTCTGACTCCAAATCAAAATTATATCTGCTGTGAAAATCAGGACTATGAACTCAAAGACAATCAGTAACACTTGGCCTCAATTCACTGCTTTATTTCACTAAAATCTCACAAGGGGAATAAAACTTCACAATTTTAAAATGGAAACTTTCATAAATCAAAAGTCAACTTTGTGTGGACTGTTTATATTGCACAATTAAAACGGAGGTCAAAGATGCAATCAGTCCACAATAATATAAGTAAACAAAGACTGGGCAGAAGTTGGTATAAAAAAGTCAAATATGTAGGAAAACAGGATGCACCAAAAGATGTTTTGTTTTGTTTTTTAAACCAAGAGTCAAATTAATTTACAAGGCTTCACAGGTATCTAGGAAAACCATTTCAAAATGCTGAGGGTATTCAAGGACTTTAGGTCAGAAAGAAACAAGCAGCTGAAAGAAACCCCTGCAGTTTGATTACTGACTAATGCTGCTATAGCCTCGCCTGATGCAACATTTAGACACAGGAATCTACAAGCTATTTCATTTGGAGAAAATCCTAGATACAATTTGGAGCTCAACCCCTGCCCCACCCCCACACAAGATTTCTGGAATTTGTCTACCGTCAATACAAGCAGCTCCAAATTTCAGGGACTGCTAAATGCCTTCTGAATGTCTCAAGAGAAGAATAAATGCAACTTGCCCTTGGTTAAAGTGACACCTGTTTAATGTGATCCTCACTCTATCCAGATACAGGTATGTGCATAGGGCTCCCACTTCAGTGGATGGGAGCTGCATGCTTATAAAGGCTGGACATGGCCTTGAGTGCTGGGTGAAAGTGCTGATTTCTGCTGTGTGGAAACACTGGGAAAGCTCTGATTTCCCACCCACCCACCCAAAGTTCCACAAAAAGTGAATCCAAAAATAAGGTTTCCTTCATTGTACACTCGCTTCATGCGACAAAATAGTACGTGGCTAATGAAACCTAAGAATAGCTGAAAATCCAACAGAAATCCAGGGTCACAATAGTAGAAGACAAACACAGATTAAAGAACAGGAGGACTTGTGGCACCTTAGAGACTAACCAATTTATTTGAGCATAAGCTTTCGTGAGCTACAGCTCACTTCATTCTTTTTGTGGATACAGACTAACACGGCTGTTACTCTGAAACAGATTAAAGAGCCTCCATGTGGTTTAGGGTTGCCAATTTGGGCTAGATGTATTCCTGGAGGTTTCATCACATGACACAGTCTTTAATTAAAGATTCATCTTTAATTCCTGGAGACTCCAGGACAGTCCTGGAGGGTTGGCAACCCTAGTGTGGTGCCATCCTACCACCCCTGCTTTCTACCTAATGATTCTGACCATTTTCTGGTGGCTAATGGAGTCTATTTAATCCTCTCAGCTGCAGCATCATAAAAATACTGTCACCTTTTAAATCACAAGCTCTTGTTTTTCTGCTCACTGAGGCAAATGCTATCTCTGAGACACAACAGCCTCTAGGACTTTTAATGTGCTTCTGAAGGAGACAGATGCTGGGATCAACTTGGCCTTTGATTCTTTTCTGGGGTCACTGGAACTCATGCTAGCAAATCCTGATATAGGGTCCAGGTCTTTTGTTTCATGGAATTCCATGAGTGCTGCAGCCAATTGAGGGTGAGGAGAATTCACTCCCTCTCCTTATGGCTCAATCATGGCAGGGAAGGTGCATACCTGCATTGCCACAGGAGCAGCCTGGGAATCAGACAGTGGCTTTGAGTCACAATCTGCCTTCTGGTTCCACCCCTTGCTCCGGGAGTGACGTATTCAGCATCAGTCCTATACCCAGTGCAGCACATATCCCCTGGTGAGCCAGTGCAGCAGTGCTCACAGGTGTGGTCTTGTGTGGGTTGGAGCCAAGAATCTCCCCATTCCCCCATCCTTTGCTTCCCTTGTGATTGGGGGAAGGGCACAGAAACCCCACGGAGACTTTTTCTCCTTCCCACCCATCCCCCACCCCAAATATATATAATTAAGGCTGCCAGACTGTCATGGAGGTCACAGAAGTCACAGATTCCGTGACTTTCCATGATCTCCATGACTTCTGCAGTGGCTGGCGCTGGCTCAGGGGCTGCCCGAGCTGGGTAGCCCCTGCACCAGCAGCAGCAGTTTGGGTGTGTGGGAGGGGGATCAGAGCTAGGGGCAGAGGGTTGGGGTGGCGCTTACCTCGGGTTGAGGGGCTCCCGCTAGCATGGCTGTGCACCTTCTAGGCAGCGGAGAGGCCGGTGGGGCCTGCATGCTGCCTGAGCCTACAGGCCCCACCTCCGCAGCTCCCATTGGCTGCGGTTCCCAGCCAATGGGAGCTGCAGCAGCCAGCGCTTGTGCCCCTCCACCACCTAGGAGCTGCAGGGACGCAGAGACAGGTTGTGAGCTCCTGCCAGCCCCACCAACCCTCCCCACCAGCACTAGCGGGGGTCCTGGACCACACACTATGTCCCAGCACCAGCAGTTCACTACAGCCACCTCCCAGCACCCACAGTTCCCCCAGATTGCCCCCGCCCAGCACCCGCGGCCTTCCACCCAAGTCTTAGTTACAGGTATTTTTAATAAAAGTCATGGACAGGTCAAGGGCTGTGAATTTTTGTTTACTAAAAATATCTGTGACTAAAACGTAGCCTTACTTAGACACATCACCATGCAGATGTGCAGCAGAACAGGCCATAGTCTGGCCCTTAATGAGCAAGGACTCAGATGTGGTGTTCTTCAAGCCCACTACGGTTCCTTTCTGTTTCCCTAGACTTTTGCAGCATGGACCCCATGTTGTAGTCTTATTAGCTTTTGTAGCATAGAATGGGAATGTCTGGGTAAAATGCTTCCAGTCTGCTTTGTGCAGTATTGGGTGGATGATGTCAGTGGTTGGTTTTTGTTTGTTTGTTTGTTTGTTTGTTTTTGAAGGAGTTCTGGGTGAGCTCCCATACAAATTAGCGTAACGGATTAAATTCAGGGATCCCGAGAGACTCCAATGAACTGTGTAGCTGCAGGAGGTATAAATCAAGGTGGAATTTGGCTGTGTTTTTATTTTAAAAATCCTGTTATTGATGCTGAGAGGCCTTTGTGACTGGAACAGGAGAGGTATACCCAGGAGGAGGTTAATTGTGTAGAACTCCAGAACATTTCAGGTTTTATGAAACCAACTGAGAGATTAAATCCACTGCATGCTACTTTCATTTTTTCACTTAAAGTGACTCCTAAACCCCTAGTATAATGCTTCCCCACACCCACACCCTGTGACATCTGAACTCAGCTACAGCTGTGTGGGAGGCTGGGAATGGAAGGCTGGCCATTTTGTGAATTTCATCAGTAGAAATGGATTGTATACAGCTGCTCTCATTTAACCTTTAGTCCCTGTTTACACTTTCTGGTAAACCAAGGACCTGATCCTGTGCGATGCAGTGCACCTGGAATTCCTGTTAACTTCATTGATCCTTCCGAGAGGCCACAGAGCACAATAACGGCCTGGAAGCCTATAGCACCATGGCCACATGTCCTGCTGTGACTGGGGAGGGAGCTGGCAACTACTGTAGAAGAAGAATCTCTCCATGTGACTAGTTTGATCTCTTGGTGTGAGGGCTCAGAATCTTGTACCTCCTGCCTGTGCCAGTCTACAGCCACTGCTAGTTCCAGGAGCCCAAGGCAACATATGCAAACTGATCTTTAACTAGTTTGTTCCACTCAACATGCTTAGGAAGAGAGCAGATGGATCAGGGGACACAAAAAGACCCTACACCTTCATGGCAGCTAGGACTGACGTAGATTTATTCTATAACTTAATGGTAGTGGAATAATGTATAGTAAATAGAAAATGGCAGACTTTAGATTTGGGTATTTTAATCAGTGGCTAGCTGTAAGATGAATACTAAATTGCATTCCTTGGAGATTACTCTCATCAGGAATGTAGCTTGGGTGATTGGTTCCAGGTAGCATCATTTTGGAATAGTTCCCTTGATCTAAGGCACTAATTTAGAAAAATGAACCTCTGCAGGACTAGCATGAAAACAAATTGCTTCTCTTGGCTTAGCTGTATCAAATAGGTCTTAAAATATATTAGTGTCCTAAATGGATACTACTTGCTCTTTTGCAAACTTAGTCAACTCCTCTCACTCACCCTGCTCAGCCTTTATAATTTTCACATGCTTTCTCTCCCCTCACATTTTATTTTGTGCAAGTTGCTGCTGTACATGTATTATGACTTTGGTTAAATACGAAAATTGTTTGAAGTGTCAAATACATGATTCCAAGCATATTTCACTTTACAAAACCCCAATGAAGCACATATATAAACATGAATGCTGTCCCTAGCCAAGTGTGTATCTTGTTGCATACAACAGCAAAGCCGGGGACCATTAGACCTACATCACACATGATTTGCTCCTCTTTATTTTTAAAACCGATTAACATCTCAGAGCTCCCTTCTGCCAAATCAAGCAACCAGATATAGGGAGCTTTCATTTCCAGAACTAAACTCAGCAGAATGGGCTAATTATTGTGCCAAATGAATACTGTTTTGCCTGAGACCTTTTTTCTGATGCTTGTTGACTTTTCCTTTTGTAAGTAACATTATGTAGCACAGCTCTATTTCACTTTGGGGATGCAGCAAACCTCTGGAATCCAGTCCATTTTCTGCTTTTTTTTTTTCCTTCAAGGATCCTGCTTTACGATGACCTATCTTGCCAATGAAGGAACCAGCCCCTAACTTACCTTTCTAGCCAGTTTGTGTGCAGCTCTTGGGTGGTGGTGGTGGTTGTCGTGGTCATGGTTGTTTATTTGTATTACCATAGCACCTAGGAACACTAGTTGTGGACCGAGGTCCCATTGTGCTAGGTGCTGTACAAATCCAGAACAAATAGAGAGTCTCTGCCCCAAAGAGCTTCCAATCTAAGTTGTTTAGATCCCCCATCTCCACACAGGCTAAACACGCCACTTCCAGAGCAATCCCAGACTATTGTAATCCAAAGAGCAGGGGGTTGAATCGGGGATCTCCAGTACTCTGCTGTCACCAAGCTACTGGTCCGGCCTACAGAGAAGGTCTGTACCTCAAGTATTAGGATTAGAGACGAACCTGAACTATGTAGTTCAGGTACTGATCTGGATCTGAAATTGCCAACAGTTCAGGGGTGCCCAGGGTTTAATTTGGCCCATTGTAGACCTCCAGGCGAGCTGTAAAGATTGAATCTGGGGGTTGAAAGGGCTACAGCATCAACTAGATGAGTTCAGTTGGTTTAAGCATTTTGGGTTCCTTAATCAGTAAGGGCCAGATTGAATAGTACCTGACATATTGATTTGAATCTTACACCACAGCTAGGCTCACTCTAGGGAATGGGACCAGCTATGAGTTAGGGTATCGGAGTCTGGTCTTCAAAGAACCGAGCTCTGATTACCCCATGAATTGTGCACATGCAGCTGACAGGATAATAAGACCCATCTTGAAGACCCATCTCCTTTTAAGTGCACATAGAAAACATTCACAAATGTCACTCTTTCTTTGCAGGTGGTGAAATCCAAAACGTCCAGTGAAAGCCCTCCCATTACAATGAAGCTATCAAGGCCCTATGCTCTGGGGAAATATTTCAACAGCCAAAGCAAACTCTCACAGCTGCAAGACTATGCAATGAATTCTCAGTCACCGTATCATGTCAGAGGTCCAATAAATCAAGTCTATTCTGAAATCCTCCTCAGCAGGATCTGTGCAAGTAAAAGCAAGGCTATTGACTCATAGCCTCTATCAGATGAAGTTTTAGAGCAGGAGACTTCCTACTTCCTCAAATGACAATCCAAGGACCATATTAAATGTATTTACATGCTTCTCTGATTGGCTGCACACAGACCAATACCACTCAAGATGTGGCGCTTTTCCTAAAGCTTTATGACGTCAAGATCTGCCCTTTCAGAACTTAGATTTCGGAATGGAAAGATGGGGCGATGCAAAAAAAGGGGGATGGGGAAGTTACATGAAATATTGCCAAATACTAGAACAGCTGCAGGTCAAGCAGCTGTGTATTGTGACAGTAAAGAGAGGGAAGGATATACACTTGATGTATTTGAAAAAGGATGCTTGATTTCTTAAGCAATAGATAGACTTATTTATTTATAGGTACACACTATAAAATTATCATATAGAGACATTCCATTCCATTTTAAAAAGCGTTATTACATACTGATTGGTTCACTTTCATTAGCAATACAGGAATATTTGTATTTCAGTGCTTGCCTCTCATGTATTGCAAAGGCAACTATTACCATTTTTTCTATCGTGCCAACTCTTAATTCTAGTGTTTACAGCTGACAGGCACATTTTCATCCACATCTGCAGTGGATCACGTTTTAACAAAAATAAAAAGGAAAGTTTGCATTATTTTTCTGCATGTTCTAAATCCAAGAGACAGAGGTGACTTAGAAGAGAGACTGAATATAACTATCCCCACCTAACATGGATTGTTAATGAATACCTTAGCATATCCTTGTTTATGAACCTGATTCAGGAAAATCTCCCTCTTGATGAAGGCTGCTTTAGATATGTTTAAGCACTTTTCTAATTGGGGGCCAATAAGCCTAGCCAGTACTTTCCCTGTATATGAGGTCCACTCTTTCTGAATTTACATAAAATGCCTGTTACCTAAGAGTCCAATCCTGAAGTCCTTGTTCAGAAAAAACTCCTATTGCATGCATACAAGGACTGCAGGATTGACTGTAAAAAATGTGACTGTAAACAAATACTTAAAAAATAACTAATTCCTGATGTCTTCTGACACGACCATATATGATTTAAGAGAATATGATATGGGTTTATATAGATAAAAGCACCAGGAAATGTAAGGAAAATTTTTAGCATTAGATTCCACTGTCAGAGTCTGTAGTCAGGACTCTCTGCTCCCTCATAATGTGTGTTGTAGAAGGAAGCAAAAGTATAGGGACAATCTGAGTCATGGTCCCCTCTGTGTCCCCACTCTTTAGAGCTGCTTGTACTCCTTCATGGGCACATTATAAAATTTGCCCCTTTTGTGTGGGGAGGCGGTCCAATGCAGCAGAGCTAAGGAGCAGTTAATGGTGTGCTCTAATAGCAACTCACGACACAATTGACTTGCTCCTTTGTTTCAGCATTAACTCCCCCGGTGTGGCTCCCACTCTCCTCTGAACAGGTTGGCTATGCTGCTGGAGTGGAAAGTCCTTAAAGCAAACAGAGGAGCTGCCAATATTCACAGGTGGCTCTGGAGATTCATTAGGCTGGACCTAGGATTCCCTAGGAATTTTTGAGCGCTACATAGTTGGCAGCCCATATTCCTAGCTACTTACATATTGTGATCAGTCCTTCCCACAAGAAGGAGTTATGTGTTAGATTGTCTGTGAAGAAGTATCTCTGAATTTATACATAAGCTTTTTTATGCTATGATCCTTCACATGAAAGGGGAGAATATAGACCTCCTTTGTATCTCTGGTAGATTTCTCAGTGAATTGACAGAAGCTTTTGCGTTTTAAGCCAGGGACAGTTCACGAACGTTGAAAGGATCCGTATTTGGTTATCTCCAGTATTTTGCAGGAACCTGTTGTGTACACACCATGCAACTTATGCTCTGCAGATCCATAACACCGGGGCAGTAGTGAAACAAAGCCTTAAAATGCAGTGGCTTAATTTTGCACCACTGAAGTGAAAGGAAGCTTTTACCATTTGCTTCAATAGATGTAGGATCAAGCAGAATGTCTTATATTAGACTAATTGTATATTCATGTATTATAACTTTGCTTCAGATGTTTGTGTATCACTTGAATCCACATGCTGGTGGGTTTTTTGTTTGTTGGTTAGTTTTTTCGCTTTACACAGCTGTAAACTGTGATCTAGAGGGTCTGATTGTGTGTGTGTGTGTGTGTGTGTGTGTTTGCTTTAAATCAAAGACCATTGTTAAAGCATCAGCTAGAAAAGGCCAAAGTTAATTCTAGTTATTCTGCAGCTGATACTGGCAAATGTGCAATTCATCACCTCCAGGTTCACCACCAGATTATTTTCATGTTCTGTATTTCCTTGTCTCAATATTTTTCATGTGTAGAAAGTTCAAAGTATCCTTTAATATTATATTTATATATATATTTGTAAGAAGCTGGTGGTATGGTTTCCAAAGTGACCTTTATTTAAATAGTTCCTTCAGATCACCTGTCTCCATCAGTAATATGAGATCTGTATTTGTCTGAGTTCAAGATGTACAAAGAAAAGCACAATAAAATACAAAAGTACAGAGTTAAGTTTTTCTTTATTTCGAACACCTACAGGTATGTGAAAGAAAAGAACTGAGACGAGGCCTGGGGAAGCACCACCACTTAAACATTTGCAAATTGAAACCATCAAAGCCAATGAAGATACATCTTTGTCATTATTGTATTTCAGAATTACCATTATTGTATTTCAGAATGATCTTCTGCTCTAGAATGTGCATAGTACACTACAAGTGATTCATAGTTCAGTTATTTTTTCCCCTGTGCCTTTAACTTTGCTAATTATTCTGGAGAGATGACAAACATGGAGCCCACTGCTGAAGTGCTCATTCAAGGTCAAATTCTGCCCCCCAGTACAACTCTGGAAGGCCCTATTGCAATGGAGCTGTTGCAAACAGTAGGGTGATCAGGCTGCTGTGGCGCATTTCCTGTCTGGTCTCTCTTTACACACCAACACGTGGCTCAGCGGAAGTTTGGGGTGGAACACGGGAAAGGGTTTAGGCCACTACATCTGCAACTATCCCGATTACCTACAAACATAAATACATGGGACACAGGGAACAGTGTTCCTGGCCCCTATTGCATCACTGGGAGTTTAGCTGGAGCTGTGGAATAATGCACTGGAGTCCCACAGACTGGAAGCGGAAGATTCTGTCTCCCACGTAACCTCACAGAGGTTGCCTGCACAATTCCAAGTTATTTAGGCTTTGTGCAGAGCCTCAGAATTTGGCCTTTGGACATTGAGGTTTTGTGATTAGGTCCATTCAAATGTGTATCTTAAGAATGATGTGAAATAACATAGCATTATTTTACTAAGTGTATCAGTTAGTATTGTCTTGAAGAGTCCTCCTCCATAAGAGATGCTGTATTTCAAATAACCCATATACAGAATTGAAATAGTCAACTATTAATACCATTACTTTCTACCTTACAGCCATTTAAGCCTGTTAATTTTCAGGATAATTTCTACATATAAACCTGTTGCATTTCTCCAGTTTTCTATTCTGTGATAAGATAAATAATAAAATTATAGCAAAATATATTTACTCGTGTACTGGGTGTGAAGTGCTGGGCATGCAATTACCTTTAGGATGAAACAACCACTTCTTATTCTTCTATCACTACTCTGAGCTAAAGAGAATGCTTTGAAGAAGCAGATATGTATGACATTAAGTTGACTGCAGTCCAGAGATCTTTCAGACAACTTTTTAGAGTAAGGCAGTTTTTTAACAGGTGCAGCATGCTGTTTGGCAGAGAATCAAACTGTTGAACAAAGTCCTGAAGAGACACATGAGAAACCTAGTCTTACCTTTTCTTTGTTTGCCCAGGAGGCTTGCATCTGGCTCGTTTTATATCATCGTTATATTTAAATATACCTGCTCTGGGCCCAACACAATCTCTGACCCATACTAGATATCACTCAGATTGTGCCTTGAGATGCTCCTGCTTTGCCTTGAGAATAAGGTTGGGAATGGGAGAGATTTCTGTTGTAAATATTGGGTAAGTTCAGCCTTCAGAACATCAGTCTTGGGGATTGATCCTGCTTCCAGTGATACCAACAGCAAAAGTTCCACCAATTTCAGTAGGAGCAGGCCCTTTGTCTGGAACCCTGAGCTGCTTTGGTGAATTTAAAGCAGTGATATTGCAGCAAACAGCCAAACTTATTTAAGTTCTGTATAAGCTCGGAACCAGAGAGCTAATTTTTGCTGCCACTTTTACCAGTGTAATGTGAAGTAACTCCAGTGAATTCAAAGCATAATGCAGGTGTACATGTTATCTATCTAAACATACGTGGTCAGTCCTGAACCGCCGCCTGGCCCCTATTCCAGAAAGCATTAAAGCTTACGTTTAAATCCCGGTGGATTTAAAGTTAAACATGTGCTTAAATCCCAGTGGATTTAAAGTTAAACATGTGCTTACGTGCATGCCTGATCTGAAGTCCCCGTGGTTATGTCTGCCCCATAGCAGCAAGTCTCAGAGCCTGCGTCCACAGATTCAGGCTCACAGGACTCTCACGATAGCACTAAATATAGTCATGTGGATGTTCAGGCTTGGGCTCTGAAGCCTGAGGGAGTGGTGGTTTCAGAGCCTGAGCCTGACCATCTATGTGGCTATTTTTAGCACTATAGCATGAGCCCCAGGAGCCTGAGTCTGTAGCACCGGGCACTGAGACTCATTGCTGCAGGGGGCAGGGGAGGAATTTGCCATGTAGACCTACCCTGTGAGATGCCCAGCATCCACTGAGCTCTCAGAATTCCATTGATTTACTCCAGATTTACACTGACGTAATTAACAAGATTTGGTCCCTGTCATTTCAAGTTATGTCATCCTGGCATGTCCAGTTGTTTTTTTCCCAAGCTTTGACAGTTTTTTTCACTGCATGTTTAAGTGCAATATTATAATGCATCCTTCCATGCATGTTCCTGCAGAGATCCTCTATGCAGGTTGTCTGGGGAGAACTTCCCCTATTGCTAACGCTCATGCAGCTCCCCCGGTGCTTGTGCTGGTCTAGATGAAGCTCCCGCAACCACTGGCAGTTTTAACCTTATGTCATTGAGACCTCTCTTAAGTGGACGTAGAGGACACTGAAAAATGCCAGTGTCTGCAGGCCTTGTCTACCCTTCTGCTTCTCCGAGGGTGGGATATTATGCTTCCAATGAATCCTAGTGTAATACAACTGTAATGAAAGACTGGGCTAGGAATTCAAATACTTTTGATGCATCGTGGCAAAGTAAGAGTAGTCGTGAAGAGCCCACTTCAGAACAAATGAGTGAAATGAAAGTTGTCAGAAAGCCTTTGAAGTCAATAAATACTGTGGGATATTGCCAGGGTTTGAAGACCAGTTCCGTGTTTGGCACGGCTTTTAACTTACATTTTGTGAGAGTGCCTTTTATCTTCTCAGTGCTACTTGTCATTATCAACTTCCATGGTTTCCTTGTGATTCATTGGTTTAAGGAGCTTATAGCAATATTTCTGCACTGGCTGATAATGGCTATGCAGCCTCCCCAGATGGTAATCAAATTGTCTTACAGTCACTAGATCAGAGAGGCTTTAGTATTTCGACAAAATATTTTTGCTTTATTGTCCTATGCTATGCCAGAGCTAAAGATTATAGATATTTCGAGTGGGTCACATGTGTATATGACCTACCATAATTATAAGAGTTTTTTTGCATCTAATATATTCAAATTAACCCCCTGGATCGTATCAATTTACATGACAACAAACATTTAAAATCTAGGCGCCCTGATCCTGCAAAGTGATGAGTCCCTGCAGCACAGGAACCATGCAGCACCTAACAGGATCGGGCCCAGAATCAGTTTCCTCAAAACAAAAAAAAGCCCTGCATGAATGAAAGCAATGCAGCCTCTTCCTCATGGAAAGCTATACTAGACTGATTACAGGTTTGAATGTGAGTTGTGGTGACAGATTTTTTTACACAGTAAGGCTAAATATTTTCCAGCTCTATAGAACTCTGTATCTCTGTGGCAAACTGTTTCCATTTACTTCTATCAAATCCTATTTTGTGTAATACATCTTGCCAAATTATTGTAAAATACATGCTAATGCGGGAAGATAGACATTTAATCCTTGTAACTACAGTTTTCACTCTGGTGGTTTATAGGGAGCACCGTGTTATTCTTTCTATTAAATAAAATTTTATAAAGGAAAACTGAACTATTACCCCTAACAAATGTTCTTCTTTGAGCGATTGTCCACACAGATTCAGGAGTGCCTGGGGTGTGTGTGTACAAAGCCTGGTATCTGTGTGGACAACACATCTTGAAGAACCACAGTTACTATAAGGTAAGCAACTAGCCATTCTTTTTAAATGATGTAAAAAATTAGTGTAGTTGATGTTATAACAGGTTTATTATGGTGTCTTATTTTAGTATGAAATAATGTTTTTATATAAAGGATACACATTAAATAAGTTCTTAGATTATCCTGTCTCTATTTTTATTATTATTTCATGATTGGCCAATGAATAGCATTTGGCAAATGTTGGCTTCAATCTTGTAGTCCTTACACAGCCAAATTCCCACCGTTGGTATAAAGCTCAGACCCACTGTATACACTTGATATGGCTTTTAAGTAATATGCTGAGCCTGTGCTTTCATTTTGTGCTGCACATTCTTGATTCTAATATAATCAAATAATAATACTTTTCCCGTCTACAATGATTTTTTCCAAGCATCACAGTGATCACTACAAGCATTCGCGAGTTAACATACACAGCATCCCATTTTGCAAAGGGGGAAATGGAAGCAGAATATGAGTGATAAGTGACTTGCCCAAAGATCACATGACAAGTCAGGGGCAGAGCCAGGAGCTGCTGTTTCCCAGTCACGGTCTCTTCTTACTTGAACAGGTGCTCATATATTGATGACGGGAGAGGGCCATATAAAGAGGCAGGAATACAGAAAAAGCACACTACCTTATTTGAAGCTATTTATTGCTTCACAATTTTTCCTTGTCTGCTATTTGCAAGTAAACCTAACTCCCCAGAGGTGCTGTGTACATTTTTATCCGAATATGTGGGGGCAATAACACATGAAAAGCCCAATCTGTTGCACTGTGAATATTCCCTGAGGTTTTTTCAGTGTAAGGTGTGTATGTACAGGTAAATTACTTCTTCATATTCATTTATAACTAAACGATGTACCGTAGTTACTTCTTAATTACAGAATTATGTATGAAAAGTTAACAGTTAAAATGTGTTAGTTTCAAATTGCTGATAAACATACTTTTATCTCTAAAAGTACTAATTCTAATTGCTTTGTTACAACTACATTAGATTCAACTTTCATGCAAGCTGCAGGATAAAATCATATACAACGCTTCTTTAGAGTACTTTACACAAAAATGAAATTCAGCACTCTTACATAAGAATGGCCATACTGGGTCAGACCAAAGGTTCATCCAGCCCAGTATCCTGTCTTCCAACAGTGGCCAGTGCCGGGTGCTCCAGAGGGAATGAACAGAACAGATAATCACCAAGTGATCCATCTTCCGTCGCCCATT